TTAGGGTATGTTTGGCACAACTAGCTGAAAAGATACTTTTGTGAGCTTTTTAGTGACGGTTAGCTTTTAGTGACCGAAAAGATCTTAAAAAGAAGCTTTTAGTGACCGAAAAGATCTTAAAAAGAAAAGGTGGTAGGTGTTTGGTGAAAAGCTGACTGTTTGATTTAGTTCTATTTGGTATACAAGCTGTTAGGACTAATTAATACTAAAAGTCACGGACTTTCTCAGATGCTACTCTGTGTAGCATCTAAAAAAAAATTGAAAAACTTTTAAAATTTGTCATACCAAACATACAACTAGAAGCTTTTAGAGACTTTTTAAATAGTACAAAAGCTAGAAGGCAGAGACTATGTTTTCCAAACATGTACTTAGTGGTTCGCCCCTTGGGTGTCATTCTGTTGTGATTTTTTTTCAGGGGAGGTCTGCACCATGGAAGCACACCCTGGAAGGTATGAAGTTAGTTCTTGGATAACTTGGATTCTTCATTTGCCCAATGTAGTTTCCAACTTTAATAACACTGATTCTTAATTTCTTATCTATGTGTTGAATATGGAACTATGGAAGGAATTGATTGACATAAAAGATAGTTTTGATTATTACAAATGAATCTGGAAGCTGTACATAGTTTACGGAAGGTTGTACAACTATTCTCAAGCCTCAACACTGCCTCTCAAGCAGGAGTATAGAAGTTATCCGTTGTCCTGCACAAAAAAGTCTTATTTACAAAAACCTCTTGTCCCAAAAATGAGAGCCCCATTTCATGAAGCTGAAGTAACTTATCATGTAGTTATCCAAAAAGTTACAAACAAGTTTTAATTAATAAGTTTAACTCATCCAAAAAATTAATTGGAGAAGTATTAATAGTATTCCTCAATATTCAAAAGTTGTACTTGTACCTTTCCATTATTTAAAAAGTGTACCTTGACTAAACTGGACTCTTATTTTGCAACGTAGGGAGTATGTGTCAAGTTTGATACAAATGTAGTCAATTCCAGGAAAGAAAAGTATATATACTCTATATTTGAATGGACATGGATGTAATGAAAATAATTGTGGTTGATTTTTTTAGAAAGGAAAAAAATATAGATCATAGAGTTCTATCATTGAAACGAAAACAAGAAGTTTATTTTGTGATGGATGAAAAAAGTAAAGTAGAAGGTTAAATTGGGACAAAGGGAGTAATATAAATTTGTAAATCTAAATGCTATTCAGCTGTGTGAAGACCCCCTTGTTTTAGTTTGTGCTGTTGTCTATTGAAAAGTTGTGTGGAAATTTTGCAACACTCAGCTTAGTGCATTATGTGCCCTTGTATTAGAATTGTTATACTTTTGCAGGTCCTGATGACATGCCTGCTCACATTAAGTCATCAATGTTTGGCTGCACACTAACGTATGAATACATTCTCGTTTTTTTCGCATATGTCATTACTTAAAATTCCTATTAATATCAACTTTGGAACTTGTAGGATACCCATAACAGATGGAAAGCTAAACATGGGAACTTGGCAGGTATATTGTGTAAAATATGTTCCAAATTCCAGTTGCTTGAGTCATGGATTTGATATATCAATAGCATATAAAGAAAGGTTGATATAGGAAGTCTTTAATCGTGTAGTAGTATAAATTGTGTGCAGTTGCGTGTATTGAAAAAAGGCAGTAATCATTAAGTTTTTAAAAATAAGCTACATATAGACTATTGATTCATTTTTTTGGGCACTGGTTTTTTTTGCTTACAATGCCCAGAGCAGACACCAACTTGACATTGAATAGTGTTATAAGGACATATTAGCATGGGCAGGTCAGTAAGTAGATTTTGGGGACCCCGGGGCAGTGATACGAGCCTACAGGCCTACACAATCTACTGTGGTCACCAATTGATCAACACTGCTAAATATAAATGTATTCACTTATCGCAAGGATTTACATGTATTGACGTTTTGAAGTCCTATGGGATGGAACTACAAGCTTTGGTATGTTTAATTCCATTGAAGATTCAATTGCTTCACAACTAAACTTTATGGGAAAAATAGTCAACCTGACTATTGTTCTATGTGATAATGTTACAAAGTTCCATCAGCGGAAGATGAATCATCCCAATTTCAGCAAATAGGTACTCAAGACCAGTATATCAGCCAATTTATTGGAACGTACCAAGGGCTTACCTTCCCAGGCTTAAGCAAACTTCTTTACAGCTAGACTTCAACATGACATTCGTTTGACATTGCTATGTCAATATCCCGGTAGCGTGAATGTGGTGACAATTAATTTGGTAGAAGATATTGAGCGAAGGCAACAAACACTCACAAGTCACAATGTGATTCTCAATCTATGCCAACAACAGCTCCGGTGCCCACATTACCGGAAGCTCCCCCACCAAAATGTCAATATTTTTCTGTGCGGTCATCGGCCTCTCCACTGTTCCCACTGGATAAGCAGTTATTCTTATCAACACCACCGCTAACATTGTGACTGCCAACACAGCAAGACCTGTCACAACAAGTCGATCTGTCACTATCAACAACACTCGTTCTGTCACCATCAGTGGGGCTGGATCACTATCAACAGCACTCTTGCTGTCACCAGTGGAGCTAGATCACTATCAACAGCATTCTTACCGTCGCCAGTGGGGCTGACACCACCACTGTTGGTACCTTAATCTTTGCAATATTGCATATTCACTACCCACACCCAAGTTGCAAGAGATAATATGGACTGTCCTAGCAAGAGGAGATTTTGATGAATCTGGGCTATTAAGACATTGGGCCATTACTTGTAGTCATGCATCTACAACCTACATGGAGATTTATGATTTGTATAATAATACGGTTTGGTTGTGGAACGGGTGGCTGCCATTGGTAATTATCTTCAAGGTTGAGGATAAGCTTGATGTTAGAGTGGAGAAAATGGACAAACTTGAGGACATACTACTTTAAGCATCATCATCATCATCATCATTATTATTAGATGTAGTTTTCTATTAGTATAGATATTCTATTTTAGTTTACATTCCTAATAAAAGTATTGTAGTTGAATTAGATTTACTCTAATACTAGTTACTAGATCACCAACTCTTGGGACTAGTTAATAGAGGTACTATATTAAATTGATAAGATTATCAACTTCCGGAGAAAGAATTCTTCTTGTGTGCTCTGTGGAACCGACAGACACTTCCTTGCCGAGGGCGAGAAGCTGTATCATATTTCCAATTGCCATAATTTTTTATCTTTTATTTTATCATCTCACAATAATGCCCGTAGCACCTACCTTGTTACAATTGTGTTTTCTTTTAGGAGTTCTATAAGAGACCAGGTAGTATATAAGCCAATTGAGCAATAGACTTGAAGAATTCAATAGTAATGCAGCCCCACACAATGTTCTCCTTAGATGAAAAGAAAACAGTCAACCTATTAGTCTCTCTGTGGTAACATTATAAGAAGTTGAGTAAATGAAATTCAGTAACTTGAGTTGAGTAAACAGGAAGTTGGACCCACAAATCTAGTTTTGTAATGTGTGTGATACATGTTGAGTTGCTAGTTGAGTAAATGCGCTGATGGATTTGCTTTCTTCTTATGCCACAGGGAATATGGCTTTGTGAGCACCGGGATGAGGCTACCCCACGCAGAATTGTCATCACCCTTAATGGCATATAGGTATATGAGGTGCGAAATGCCAGAGGCCGTGTTTGTATGGGATCCACCTGCTACTCTTGATGCACGAGGTCCGAGACATAGTTCATACCCCGGATAAGGAATTACCAAATGTACTCATTTTGTTTTTTATTTTTAGCTCAGATGACAAGTACTTATGTACTGCATGTTAAATCTGCCCAGAAGATATAGTACAAATTGAAGCTTGTATATTGGTCCCGACTCCCGGTTCTTGTGTTGGTTCCGGGTCTTTAGCCTGTGTAAAAAATAATGATAACTGGGACTGAAATTGAAAGCCGAATCGGTACTATTTAGAGGAACTAATTTGGGCTGGTAGCTGGTTACTAAACAAGTGACTAGTACTGGTTCTGTTGCAAAAATTTCAATTAAAATTTATCGTATGAGTGATTGAGTGATCGGATTCCAAGTCCAATATTTGCTGCTGCTTAGAAGACAAACCTTGAAGAATACAAGAGCTTCAAGAGTTCATGGATTAAAAAACAATATAAACGATCATTTAAAAATAATAATACTCCCCAAACAATGACATTGTTGTCTTTGACACGGATATAGGGGTGGACTCGGGCCGGGCGGCCCGACCCGGAACTGGCCCGGCCCGGTTACTGTTTGGCCCGGCCCGGCCCGGGGCCCGGTGGGTCCAGCGGTTCGGTTTGGCCCGGCCCGGGTGATGGGCGGTCCGGGCTCGGGCCCTGCTTTAGGCGAACCGGCCCGGCTGGTTCGGGCCCGGTCCGGGCCGGATTTTAATTTTTTTTTTTTTTATTTCTTTTTAAGTTTTGGGTTGGATTAGGTATTTTGGGCCATTTGAGGTGGTTTGGGTGGTTTGGGGTTGAGGGGGAGGGGTAGGGGGTTAAATAGGAGAACAAAAAAAAAGACCGGTTTGGCCCGGTTAGGCCCGGAACCGGAACCGGCGGTTCGGGCTCGGGCCCCAGTTTTCTGGCCCGAGGCCCGAACCGGCCCGAGTCCAGCCATACACGGATATCACCGGTTAAATTCCAGTCCCATTAGCGCTAATAGTATGGAATGTCATCATGCAAAGGCTCCCATCTAAGGTAGGATAAGGCGGGGTCAGATGTACGCAATCTTACCCCTGTACTAAAGCACAGAGACACTGTTTCCGAATGGCCTTCAAAATTGCATAGACCGACTGTTGTTTCATAACAAGAAGCGCATACAGTCTTAAATATAGCCATATAGGAATGTAAATTCGTAAATTATGATTTTTTTAGATCAGCTTGATATCGACTCTAGATCTTAAAGATATTACTAGATGAACTTGGTGTCCAGCAGCAGCATAAAGCGGGTGTCAAGATATGATTAACAAACAACATAAGTAACCATGAGTAATGATAGTATGATACCAGTTAGACTATGCAAGCGGCCCAAATCAAAGAAGGAATTCTTACATAAAGGCAACTGAGGCAGGTTATATGAGATGTATTCAATGGTAGATGATTAGGCAAACTCTTTAAAATAATAATTCTATCTCTGAAATAAATAAATGCGAATGACCAACCTCTAATATAAATTAAATCCCAAATCAAAATACAAGGTACACCTCACCATCACAAGTTCCAGAAGCTCCTATCATCCAAGGATTTGAACTTGGATGCTTTAAAATGAATATAGGGCTCATTTGTAGTACCAACACCAGCCTGTCCTTCAAAAATGTTACAACTCGAATTTGCCACCCAAGACTCCTTTTCTCCACACAAAACCGCCCATGCATTGCCCCAAAAGAGGAAAGATGAAGGTTTTGGTCATCATGATGCCAAAATATTAACAGATGCTGCGAGTTCGGCCAATTGCCTGCCTTGAAGCTTGGAGACAAGTTCAGCTGATATGAAATGTTTAGGTAGGGTAATTAACTCTTCTTGAAAACCATATATCGGTTGAAGTTTTCTTGCTTCAGAAACTGCTGCTTCAGCCTCCTCCAGCAAAGCATCTGCCTCTTCAAGGTCACCCAACTCTAAAGCAACTGATCTCTCTTCTCTGCAAGCTCTGTCAACTAAAATTAGCCTCTGGAATCTAGCCATAGCCAATTCTCTCTCCTTTTCTGAAACTTGAGCTTCCGTTTCTTTCAGTCTCTCAACGATAAGGCAAATCTCTTCTTCAACTTTCTTGACCTCTAATTCTGCACCTTCCAATTTGGTTTGTATTCTATCCTTTTCCATGCACAATTCCTTCGCCTCTGTTGACAGGCGTGCTGCTTCCTTAAAATTTCTTGCAGCAGCAGCCACCTTTTTCTCTGCCTCGAGCTCTGGAACTCTCTTGTCTATAAGGAGAAATCTCTGCTTTGAGGAATCAATATCTTGCTGGATCTTTGACTTTGATGATGATAGTTCCTACAATATCAAAGATTGATATACAGATCAACTTGTGTTGAGGGATAATGGATATAGAGAGATAAGTGGGGAACAGCAGCTGGTACAGCCTTTTGCACTTACATGCATATTATGTTGGGAATTCGGATTACACAAGTGCATTAAATATTGGATAGTGTATTTCTTATTTTACATGTGGATTCTATTGTAGTCCATTCCCTTCAATAGTGGAACTAGTGGACCATTGATATCTATTAATCTATTCATACAATTTTACTGCAAATATGCTCTTATATTGTTATATTTACATATTTCCTCCAGCACTTCATATGATAATTGCGCCATCTAGTTAGGGTGGTAATGAACTGTGTGATAGACTCTATTCAGGAGAGACTCATATTTGAACATGTGTGATATATGTGCAGCTCAAAGGTACAACCAAGAAGAGCAAGACCCCACATAGGGTTGTCCAGGTGGTGTCATGACAACCACTTTTCAGTTCAATGAACAAGGGGTGTTTTTTACTGGGAAGAGTGAGATGCAATCTAGAAAACCGAAGTTACTAACAGTGGTATATTTACTTGGACAGCAGATCATGATTCATTATTAGCTCAAGATGATCTGCAATGGAGAAACTTTTTGGAAAATAGTTTGATATGGTAAAAATCCTATTAGACGGCGTGAGACATGGTAAAAATCCTATTTTTGCAAGATTATTTTGACCATAGTTTGATATGGTAAAAATCCTACTACGTATAAGAAAAGAGGTAAAACCGGGTAACCATCAGATTTAACATATTAAGTTGCTGTGCATACCTGAGATTGTGAGATACAATGTACAAGATTATAGTGTTTCATGCCACCTTCTGTGAATAATTATTGGTCTAGGAACCAAGACCGTAACAAGGCAAAATTTGGTCTTTGAAGGAACACATGAAGATGAGTAGTTTGAACTTGACTAGGAAAACTCGTGTGCGGAAATGTGGAATTCTGTTTAAAGATGTGGAGTAAGAATGACCACCAAATAGGTGGCACACTGGCACTAAATGTCTCATTTCATTTTCATTTTCATTTACCCCAGTGCCGCAAAGGCTCCCACCTACGGTGGGGTAAGGGGGTCGGATGTACGCAGTCTTACCCCTGTACTAAAGCACATAGAGACTGTTTCCGGATGACCCATAGTGAAAATCGTGTCCAAAATTGCATGGACTGGCACTAATTGTCTCTTGAAAAGAAATTAAAGTATACTTGACTGACCTGAAGTGATGTTCTTGCAGCAGAAATTTGCTGTTGGAGCATTTGGATTTGGATTGCAAGTTCATCCTCATTTATAGAAAGCCTAACTCTATCCTCCTTGGATTTCAAAACAAACTGAGCCAGACTCTTACGTAACCCAACAACTTCTGTAAACATGTTTGCTTCATCTGCTGAAATCCTAGAGAGATCCCTAATCTTTGCTTTCCTAGATTCCTCCTGGGAAGCATAATAATCAATCTCTTTCTTCTTCTCCAATAGAGATTCATTTTCTAAGAGAAGTTCAGACAGTCTAGATTGCAGATTCTGATAATTTTCATTAATACTAGTTTCGGCTTCTTGAGAGCTAGACATTACACAGTCAATCCTTCTGTCAACTTTTTCAATGAGAGAATCATTTTCTGCTATTTCTTCTTCCTTTGCTTTCACTAAAGCAAGCAGTTGTTTCAGCTCTTCCGTTAACACTTCTTTTTTCTTGCAAAGAATATTTCTCTCTCTTCGGTCATCCTCAACATATTGCTCTATGGAATCCTTAAGAACCTTTTGCGCCTCAAACACCAATTCAGCTTCAATCTCCAATTCCATCTTTTGGATCTCTATTGCTTCAGCGGACAACTCCCACTCCTGCATTTGTTTGGATGACAATCCTTCTGCAGTTGTTACATCCAATTCTGCATCACATATGGCATCCTGAGAGAAAAAATAATTCTCTTTTGTATCAAACTAATGCAACTATTGAAAAATGAACACATAGGAAAGCTATCTTGAGTGCACACAGAGCTTCTCGCAAATCCAGTAAACTGCAACTAAGCTTGAGTCATGTAGTTCTGTAATGGAGTCAGTAGTCAAGGTGTGTGAACATGATATTCTTGAAGCAGTACATAGCATCACATATTCATTTACACACCAAAAAACACTATAATGATGTACATACTCCATATTTAAATTTGATACTAAAAGCTTATAGCAAAACCATCATTCAATTGGAAATTTGATTATCATAACGAACTGACCAATGCAAAGCTCTGCAACATAGAGGCGCATTCCTCCTCAACATGAATTAGCGAGTCAAGAGCCTCCTGCATCTTAGAGTCAACAGCACTGCTCTGGGCTTCAGCATCTCTGAGATCAACTGTCAGCCGTTCCTTTTCCTTCTCAGCCAAAGCTAAACTCTCACTAACTCTTTCAGCTTTCTCAAAGTCTTCAGCCTCACAAGCTTCATCCAGCTTCTTCTCTAGCTCTTTATACTCACCAAATGCTTGAGTTACATTCCTGGCAGCTTTTCTCCTCTTCCTAATCGATTCCTTCTTCTCTGAAGATATGGAAGCTACAGTCTCATTGGCCATTTTAAGCTTACTAGAAATGAGGGTTTTAAGTTGTTCAAATCGTAACTCAACTGGTTTATGACTCTTGTTACAATTTAATTGCTCAGATGTTACATTTTCACCAACTCCACACGAACCCAGGCTATCCGCCTTATGGGAAAGTGCATCATCATTAGAATGAATGCTTCGCGATGTTTTTTGAGAATCACAGTCGTGAGCGGCAGAGATTATGGTGGAGTCGTGCTCTTCACCTTCTTCAGCAGCATAACTGTCTTCTTCTTCTTTTTCTAGTTCTTCGTTATGCCCTTTTTCCTTCCCCTCCTTTGAATGATCACCCGGGGGAGAGGTGGTTGGGACTGAATCGGAGGCATAATATCTATTCCTACCATATCCAATCCTTAAACCAGCTCTCTTCTTCTTCCGGGCAGTAGAATTCTGGCGAGAAAGTACCGAGTTTGAAGATGGACCGGGCGGAGACTTGAAATCCTCTACTTCTGGGGATCTTGGGGGAGAGACAAGTGTAAGATCAGAGAACAGGTTCTCATCGAGCGGCTGAATATGATTTGATTGGGCCGGAACTTGAATAGGTGGGACAGCCGGTTGAGCTGCTCCGACATTAACAACGGCAGCTATGTCTGAGCCCCGCCGGTCTAGATGTCCAATTCCGACGTCGTCGATATCCGGATCTCCAGACACCATTTCAGAAGGATCGAACAGGACCATCCCCTCAAACAGTGAGTCCATTTCATCATTTTCTTCCATTTCGGATTTGTATGGACGGGGACGGTCTATCACTTCCCTTCTCTTCTTTGTGTGCTAAATAAACACCATCTAAGCCGCCTTAAGGCTTGTCAACGCAGGCAGATAAACGGCGAAGTTCTCTGCTCCCTCCCTCAGACGAAACTTTCAGAACCTCCCATTTTTTACTTTGACACTTTCATAGTAAAATAATCAATTTATATTTTGATTTTAGCTACATTTTCAATTTTTGGCAATTTTTACATTTAAGATTATTCAATTATCAATAATTATTTTACTTTTCATACTTTTGCACTATCACTCTTACTTTTTTTTTTACAGTATTCCATATTTATTCTCATACAGAGTATTATTTTTTCTTGGATATTGTGTCAAACTCTATTGTAGCAAAAAATTTAATACGAAGAAAATATCGGCTTATATCTCTTTTCTCTCCATAAGCTTAAATCACACAAAATTTTCTTATTTCACACCCAGTTCTAAGTTCACACTTCGCAATGTGAAATGAGATACTTTGAAAAAAATGTAAAATGAGATACTTTGAGAAAATGTGAAATGAGACCTATGTAATAATAATACTTGTATAATACTTAAGGTAAACAATCAAGATTGTTAGCAAGAAGTTGTCATAAATTTGATGTCATCTTGTACAATGTGCCATAAAATTGGCAATATTTTCAAATTGATGTCAAAAAAATAAGAGTTTTTACTGCCATTATAAGATTGTTAGCAAGAAGTTGTCATAAATTTGACCAAAAAATGAAGCTAGTGTAACAAATCAAAAAATTAACTTTTTAATGATATCATAAACATAAGGGAAAAGGTGCAAATAGGCTCATGTACTAACCAAAAAAGGTCAAATAAGCCCTTATTTAGGAGGCTTTGTCCGGCCGTCGCCATTTGGGGTGGTTCCCGGTGGAATTTTTTTATGAAATTTTTTGAGCATCTTATTCATCAAGTCTAGTTTACTCATACCATATTTCAACTAAAACTTCAATCGGGAAGGCATTCAAATGAATTCTTGAAAATAACTGCGCAGTTAGAAGCACACTTATCTTCAAGAATTCATTTGAATGCCTTCCCGATTGAAGTTTTAGCTGAAATTTGGTATGAGTAAACTAGACTTGATGAATAAGATGCTCAAAAAATTCCACCGGGAACCACCCCAAATGGCGACGGCCGGACAAAGCCTCCTAAATAAAGACTTATTTGACCTTTTTTGGTTAGTACATGGGCCTATTTGCACCTTTTCTCTAACCATAATGAAATCAGAACTGGAAATATGAAGCCAATGTTCAAAATTAAATATAATGCACCGCCCTTTAAAGCGCACTAATGCACTATATGTATAAAACAATGCACTTTTACCCATTAAACATTAAAGCAATTTCTATAAATCAGAGTAAAAATGTTTGTGAAACCCAAAATAGGATTAATGTGTTTTTATTTTCTAAATAAGAATTATTACTGTCATATTTTGGCATTATCAAACTTCAAACATGATATCATTTCTCAAGTTTGACACATATTGCTGACAATAAAAACATAATACTCATATTTTAGAATTTTAAAATGTTTCTACTTATATTTTGATATATTTTTTCTAAAGTTTAAGATATTTTTGAAAATGTCGCTGATGTTTTTACTTTAAAAAACCTTTTCATCGATTGATTTTATTAAATAAATGACCATCATTTGTTTTTATTGTTTATCTTAAACACCTTTTTTTCGCTAAACCCGCCTCATTTCCATTTGTAGTTTGTGTCCTAAATTGCAAAGAAAAATGCGTGAACTTTTTCTTTTAAAACAAAATTGGGTGAACTTATTTAGGGTGAATTTATTTTGAAAGATTGTGATCGTACTATATGGGGTAGAAGTGTAGAACTTTTGCAATAGATCACTTGGAAATCAGTGGACCTGAGGGTCCTCCGGGTCAAGTGTCCCTGCTTCCGACCCCGAAATTTAGTAGTATTACTTATGGTATAATCAGTGCCCCCGCTTCCTAATAAAAACTATGACTATTAGATATGTAATGATTCTGTCAAAGAGCATATGAAAATTGTTATAAAACATTTAAGTGACTACAGAGTTATGATGAAGCGATTTCATACAATTAGACATGTTCTTAACACAGTCATTCTTTGAAAAGTGGCATTGATGGTTTTTTTGTGAAGTACGAATTATCTTTTTCTAAAATTAGAACTCAATGATATGACGAGACTTCTAATATGTGTGGTGAACTTAATGGATTTAAGATTATATTAAATGAAATTCCATACACAAGATATATTCATTGTTTTCTTACCAATTACATTTAGTTGTCGTTGCTATTGCACACAAGAAGAAGTTTGTGGTTACTTTCTTTGGATATTTCTCCATGGTTATGTTACTAAAATGTTGGGATCCACTTGTAAAATAAAGGGTGTATTCCTACAAAAACAATATGATACCATAAGAGAGTTATTAGAAAACAAAAATTCCTTTTGTACACGTTTTTGTACCCATCAGTACACGCATGTGTCTGTGAGAGTTTTTTTTTGTCTGTGAAGTGCGGTCCACAGACATAAGTTCGCTTGTTTTGTCTGTGGAAAATTTCACAGACAAAACAAACCAGCTTTTGTCTGTGGACCGCACTTCACAGACAAAAAAAAACTCTCACAGACACATGCGTGTACTGATGGGTACAAAAACGTGTACACCAAGAATGGTTGATTAGAAAAAGGTGTAGTAATAACAGACAGAAAATGATTGAATCAAGAAATTAAAGTAGTTTAGCTCGGTCCGGAGTTACATGTTAGGGTTCACGATTTAATCCCAAGTTGATGAAGGAATTTTTGACATTGTAATTTTGTGGCATGACGTTAGACACTATTGTAGTTCTAAATCAAAATTCTGGCCATTTGCAGTTCAAAAACAACTTGAATTCTAATCCAAAACCAGAAATGTTCCTAGGATGATTCAGTTCTAATTCATAAGAAGTATTGTGTTTTTCTTTCAAGAAACTGAATATTACTCCCTCTGTCCCGCTAAGATTGTCCCAGACACTATTCATTTGGCAACACAAATCACTCTTAATCTCTTACTTTATATATCAAATTTTTATCAAATTTGATTCTGGTTTTTGCGACTTTGTAAAGTTTTTAATGTAGTTTTTGAATACGTAATTTTTATTATTTTAAAATAATTTGAGTGCGGACAGGGATCAATTTGCTTTATCGTTGGTCAAGCATTGTAAACCGAATCGTCCCAAACATAGTGGGACGGAGGTAGTATTATTTAGAATTGATTTAATGGGTTGAAAACTGAAATTGGATAACTTGTTTTTGTTTAAAAAATTGTATGCACATTGAATAGATTAGTCTAATACCCGATCCGGCCCGTCTCTGTCCATATAGTAGTGCCTCGCTTCAGAAAAATTCTAGGCCTGCCAGTCTGCCACTGGTTGGAATGCAACGTTATACACTTATACATATTTTGCTAAATGGTTCACTCATTACTTTCATATTTCCAGTACACCATCAAGGCCTATAGAAAGAAAGTGAATACCTTGACACTCGTCTAATTGCAAATTATACTGTGTGACCGGTATACCATGCGCATGGTATACCGGTCCACTAATACGGTACCGTTTTTCTCTTCCCAAGCTCCAACGTAACAATCCAATACTAGAGAAGCTTTATTTCTCTTTTTAGGTTAGTACTTTCTTTCTCTTTATTTTTCTTTTCTATTTTCTTCAATTCTTTTTTCTTCTACATCAAAATACTAAAACTTTATTTGTGCTTTCACTTATATTTATCTTCAACTAATTAAATTTAAATTGAATTTACTTTTTTCTCTCTACCAAATTATTACAAAATTTTATTAATCTACATAAAATAAGTATATTGTATTTCATAATCATACATTTTCTTTACTTTTTTTTAGCTTCAACTGATATAACAATAAAATATATATTTTTTGTAATATTTTTTTAGATTTCATATTCATATTTTTTCTATAATATATTTCTTATCTCTTTGAAAAAGAAAATATTTCTTATCTCTTTGAGATGCTTTTAGTGTTTTTAAGACATTGAATTTGTTTATTTTAATTTAAATTTCATAAAACATGAAATTATATTACATTTTTCATATGTGTGAGTTATATTTATAAACAATTTCTGGAATTACATTCAATAGTATATGAAGTTACATCTTACTATGTGCGAATTACATCTTAATGTACGCGAGTTACAACTTAATATACACGATTTACATCTAAATGTATGTGACTTACACACTTACACTACGGAATAAATCTCTGCTATATTATTTTTATAGCTCTAATATTAAAAATAAAACATATTCACTATTTAAAAAATAGTAATTGGGCTAATATGATTATTTTTTCATTGTTTACATTGAAATCAATGTTTATAATACACACACATATTATTCTCAAAACAAAAAAAAAATTATTGTTCAATTTTTCAACAAGTTACATTCTGTATACACCTAAGTTACATTTGCCATTAACGAGAATTACATCTGTAATAACACGAGTTACATAAAAAAAATCAACCCCTGCTATAGAAACAAAAAAAATGATCTTTTCAAAAAAAAAAAATTATGGCCATGGTATTAAAAACAAAACATATTCACGTTTTACCTAAAGCAATTGTGCAATTAGACTCTCTTTTTTCATTGTTTACATTGAAATCAATATTTTATTTCTTATACTATGTATTTGACAAGTTACATTTTGAACGGACTTGAGTTACATTGATCAATAATGCGAGTTACATATCCTTCCACGCGAGTTACATCATTCATGCTACTGGGACAAAAAGACAATAAACAGTTACTGTACACATGTGTACTGTTCACACGATTTTTTTTTTTAAAATTGTGCAAAACTACGTCGTTGTGGGAGTAGAGCATGATGTACTGGTGGGCCGGTTGCACTGTATACGAACTGCGTCTAATTGTCAATTTTCAAATTTCAATCTATTTGCACATATAATGTGGGGATCTTTCATACTAATATATTACATATATGTGCACTTATCAATACGTCAACTAGGGGTGGACTGGGCCAGGTCCGGGTCGGGAGTGGGCAGGCTCCAAGTCCAAAATTATCAAGCCCGGTACCGGCCCAGGTTTGTACCGAGACTGGGTTGGGCCGGGCTA